TTCTCACTTGGGCTTTTATGGCTTTTACAGCCACCTCTGCTCTTCCATTCCCTTGCGGGTCGTCTCCAGGCGTCTTTGTGACGTAAATGCCACGGCTTCTGGCCCATCTTCCGAAGGCACCCTCAAACTCGTGCCCCCGGTCGCAGTGTATGCGGCCAATGTGGTAGCCGTCAGCTCTCAAGCGCAAGACGAACTCCATCGCCGTCGCGCTCACCTCCCTTGCTGTCTTTGTCACCATTGGGAGTGCCATTCTGTACACTCTCAGCTCTGTTTCCTCCTCCAACTTCCCTGGTTCTTCCTCCTCCTCGGGCGGGGCCGGGAGGCGGACTGGCTCTCCTCTAGCCAACCCCTGCTCACCGGCCTCTTCGCCCTGCGGTGGGGCAGGGAGGCGGACTGGCTCTCCTCTAGCCAACCCCTGCTCACCCGCCTCTTCACCGCGGCCTGCTGGGAGGCGGACTAGCTCTCCTCCAGCCAACCCCTGCTCACCAGCGGCCAATGGCGGTAGTTCGCCAATATCTTCTTCATCAAAGCCTTCTCCTGCTTCTTCTTCATCGCCTTCCTCTATCTTCGGTTCATCACCCTCTAAAGGCTCGTGCGGTGGTTGCTTCAGCTTCTCAAATCCTCGGGGAACTCTCCATGTCAAAGCTCCAACCAGGAAGTACCGAGCCTTTCCGCCACCTTGGTCATACGCTGGAATCAACGGTCCAGCGGTGTCAATGGACAGCACCCCAGCTGCCACATGCTTTGCCTTTCGATGTGGGGCACACTGTTGCATAGTTTCTTGACATACCCTACAATCTCTTCGATACGGCACATGACCCATCGCCAAGTGTTCCTGCCATGACAATGGTTTCAGCTTCGGCTTGGCCTGATACACCTGCCTCATCAGCGCTTCTGCAAGCATTCTCATCACAGCAGGCGGCCATCTTGACAGTTCCTTCGAGTCGTTGATCCGGGCTTGATGCTTGGGTGCTTTGATCTTGTAATCCTCTGGGTGTAAGTCAAGCGACCCACCAAAAGTTGTTGGCTTGGCGGTCTTTCCATGGCACCCAGATGTCCTTGCTGAAAAGTGCACTCCTTCAGGTTGAACTCCTCTTTCAGCTGCTTCCACTCCGTTGTGTCCCAAAAGCTGACCACCTCTGGCTTGTACTGTTTGGGACTTGCAGGTTGCTCCAGACTGAGCACTGGGTCCATGCTTTCTCCTCTCACCCTGGCAGCATAAACGGCCACCACGTAGAGAAAGATAGTCCTCCACAGCAGCAGGTCATCTTCTCGTACCTGCTTCTTCTCCTCTTCAGTCAAACCTTCTGCACCAAACTCTCCACCTCCCCAACTTCGAACTGGTCGCGGAGCTTGTGGATTCCCCTCTATAGGGTAGTGTCTCAGAACACTTCGTGTCCTGCAGTTGGGGCCAGCTACTATGCCCTTTATTTTTCCTTCCAAAGCGGCTCTAAGAAGGGAACCATATGGAGTCGTTGCCAGCATGTCTTGACCTTCTCCTCTCACCTGATCTACCTCTAAGATCTGCCAATCCTGTCCTCCAGCTTGTTGCCAGCCTCTCTTCAAGGTGTGACCTTCTTCAGAGCCCGCAAAAAGATGAAGAACAAAGCCATCTCTTTTCATTCGCTTTCTCGTTCTTTTGTTCGCTGGCAGCTGTCCCCACTCTCCCACTTCACATGGAAGCCCTTGTTTGATCCAAGGAGGCAATGACCTCAGCAGCGGATGAGCTTCTACCAACGACTTCACCCACTGAAATTCTCTTTGAAAATCCTCAGCTTTCTCTCCGATGCCCATCTTCTGATTTTCTAGTTCTTCGATGAGCTGCAAGGCCAATTGCCTTGGAACCTGTGGGCAGCCATTGTCGTAGGTGATGGGAAGCCGTCCACGGAAAGGGTGAACCACAATCAACTCACCTTCTTTCCACGTTGCCTCACACTTCAATTTCTCCATCAAAGCTCCCATCGGCACAATTGGTTCGACTGAGGGGTCTTCACTGACCATGGTCCCTCCAGGTGTGATGGGAATCTGAACCCGATTTCCATCAGCTAGCGCCACATCTACTTTCCGATATCCTTGAACATCTTCTCCTTGTTTTCGAGGCCTCAAGCAGTGAGATGCCCCGCTGTCCAGAAGACCCTGTTGTTTCCCTTGATTCATCCTCCGAAGCCTCAAAGTCTTCATTCGAAGAGAGTTCAACTGTTGCTGTAACTTCTCAACTTCTCAACCACCTCAGCTCTGGACTCTTCTTGACTCGTTGGAGACACGGTTGAAGAAGCCTGTGACCCTGTTCCTGTAGACAAAGACCTCAGCATCTTGTTCGCCTCTTCCAGCAAGTTTTTCATGGAAACGTCCTGAGAAGAGCTGGACGCCGCTTCGCTGTCTTTCGCTGACGACGACTTCTCCTCTTCTCCTTTCGCTGTCTTTTGTCTCACAGGGCTAGCATCACTGCTGGCTCCTCCTCTTGACCTCGTGCATGTTGACGACAAGTGCTGAGTCGAACCACAGGTGTAGCAACGCCTCTTCTCATCTCGAACATCATGTGACCAGCTGCACTCCTTACCTTTTCGGCAGCCTCCTTCTGAAAGATAAAACTTGCAAGCCGGTCTTCCCTTTTCTTCTTCTCCTATCTTTTCTTTCCCTTTACCTTTTCCTTTGTCCTGTTTGTCCATGTCGAGGGACTTCAGCTTGGGAGCATCCTGTCTTGAACCCTGTCCTCCAGTGCGCTTCTCAGTCAACGCAACTTGCTCTATTTCCGCCAAGAGATGTGTGGCAAATCTGCTGACAGACAGCTCAGTAGGAGTCGTATCGACTCCAAGGCTCGACCTCGCAAGTTGAATCCTGAATTGTAGATCACGGTTGCTATCGAGAACCCGCTTGGTGAGTCTGTTCAACCCTTTGAGCAGGAGGGCAGCATCCGGAATCACTGCACCTATTTCAGCAGTTCTGGCCTTCCATCGCATCCACTTTCTCAGCGCAGCCGGTGCATCCCCTATGTTCGCCACCTCTGGCGGTTCTTCAAGATTTCTGAGAAGCATAGTCTTTTCCATGACACCACCAGGGCAGTATGTAAGAAAAAGGTGTGTGAGGATTGAGAAAACTCCCATCTTTCTGCCAGCAACCAACTCATCACGTACTGATTCTGGCACAGCATGGAGAAGCATAGTTGACATCCTTCTCTCCAGACGTTGCCAGCGCTCTTGTTGAAGTCCAGGAGGTGGAGTGGCATTGTGAACAATCCGATCCAACGGATTGAGCGCCATGTGCGCCTGATACCATACCTCTACTGATTTTGTCATCTCGCGCCACCACTCCTCACTTGTTGCAGACATATCGGCGGCGACAGGCTCCACCATCAGCAGCCAGTCTCCCAGTTGAAGTGGGCCTTGCGACGCATTGCAAGGCTGAAGTGGCGGCAATTCCAAGATGCCTGTTCGCACCACCTCTACGCCCTTCACCATGCCGGCATCGTCTCTCCCCTCACTGACCTTCTTTTGCATCTCTTTCATTCACTCTACCATGATGGCCATGAACTCCAGCGACTTCTCGGTCAGACCAGATCCTGACCCACGGTCCTCCCCTGGAGACTCTTTCGTTCCTTCTGTCTTTCGCTCTTGACTTCTTTGGGGGTCTACAGCCTCCTTACTCCTCCATGGAAACAAGTCTCTTTCGCTCACGCGTCCTTCAGCAGCTTCTGACCAAATCTTCTGGGGGTCTGCAGCCTCCTTGTCTTTCATCGACTTTCTCTGAGCCTGACCTTGGGGGTCTACAGCATCCTTCAGGGGGTCTGCAGCCTCCTCGGGGGTTGAGAACTTCGAATCTCCTCCTTCTGATGGCTTCTTCAACTCGTTCAGGGCATCTCTCAGCTTTTGGTTCTCTGCGGCAAGCTTGTCTAGATACCCTCTCAACTCATCCCTTTCTCTTTGATCTTTTTGCTGCTGTTCTCTCAACTGTTCCAACATTGGATCTTTTTCGAACATTTCCCTACCGATCCTATCCTCTTCAAGACTCAGAAAGGCAGGTCTCTGAACACTAGGTGTGAATGCAGAGTGAGGTTGGCCATACAACCATGGTGCTTGACTGTGGATGAAAGCCATGTGTTGCAACTGCTCAGGAGTGAAAAGAGGTGGAAGCGCCGAGCTTTCTGCTCTCCTATCTGTTCCCTTCCCATCCCCTGTTGGAGACGCTCTCGCCTGGCTCTTCTTGTTCTCGAATGCCTCAGGGCCCAAGTTACTACCGGTCTCCTTCTTGGAAGACATGGTAGCCTTCTCACTTCCTTTGTCTTGTTGGTCCTGCGGCTTTGGAGTCCTAAGTCCAGGCGACGCAAATTCCTCAGGTGCAAACTTCGGTGGCTCTGCTGGTGGCAAGGTTGGTGGCCTTCTCATTTCTGTTCCAGGGGCAGCGCTAGACGTATTGTCAGGACTAGAGTTTCCTTTGGAATCTTCTCTAACCCCATCAGCTATTGGAGGAGCACTCACCTCACCTGAAACCTCCTTGTGGCTGCCTTCCTTGCTATCCTCTAACGGCTTTTCGCCTCTCTCTTCTGCTTCTTTCTGCATACGTTTCTCTGCCAGTCTCATCTCTGCTTCTCCCTGTGCTATTTCCTCTTGAGTAGCTCTACGTCTCATCATCATGTGTTTTCGGTCAGAGCTTTGGGCTCATAACCTGCTGATATCACAGTCAGGTTTGAGCTTCTAGACCGGAACTTGTTACACTTCTCGTTTTGTGCAAGCCCAGTCTCTCCTCCCAAACCGCGTCCTCTCCGTTTCTCCAAGGCACAAATGTCTTGAGATTTCAAAAGGGGCAGCTTCACGCATGCCAAGGATGAATTTGGATATGTGAAATGTCAATGCAACTGACATGTATGTGCAAAAAGACAGGGGAAAACAGCAGTGCCAGTCCTCGAAATTCTTCCAAATGGTTGACAGAGCTTGAAAGTGACATGGGCAGGAAATCTTGCGCCAACCAAACCCATCACCCATCATCAATCCCCAATCCAAGCCATGCTGCCGGCGCCAGGTATCGCTTGTAGCTGGCTGTGGCTGGTGCTGTTTTCGCCCGAGTTCACGAAGTTCACGTCTTGGGAGACGCGCTGGACTGGGGGAGGTGCAGAGTGTCCTGCCAGGTGGTTAATAACGGTTGATCATCATATGTTCCATTTAAAAAGTATCAAACAATTGCAAGTTCATCGGGCATCCCCCATATTCAGATGTCCATATAACGGTTGGTATTGGTTGGTAGTTGATGAGGGTTGCCAGCAGGCAATATTATAAAACTAATTGGCTGCCTTCAAAGTGCAAAGGACTGATTGGTTCAGGACTCATTGAATCTCACTTTGAAATACCATTTTCTGTCACAAAGCAATCATCAAATGGCGTCTGCTATTCCGTTGCAATAGAGTGCGAGGCTGAACGTTTCTGGGCGAAGAAATTGCCAAAGTTTCGGGAAAAGGCTCAGAGTCTAGGCCTGGCAGAAAGATTTGCGAATGAAGTGAGGAAAGTCGAACGGAGGAGTATGCACAATATATATATAATATATGTATATATATATATGTATACACACGATAATACGCCGTACATACACATACACATACACATCATCATATGCAGATTGCATGTTATATGTAATTTTCTATAATGTGTTTATGTAAACAGAAGCAATGCTGGTGCTGATCCAGTGTCCAGAGTGATTTTGTACCAGTAGCCCTGCAGTTCTAGGTGAAAAAAGACTGCTTCGGACGATGCAAATCCTCTCACTCTTTCTTGACTCATGTCTAGCAACAGAAGCACATACAGCCTCTACAAGGGTTTGTCTCAAAAATGGGGATGCCATGTCAATTTTATGGCACTTCGTGTTTTTTTTCTTCAGCCAAATGCTATGTTGCCATGTACTTTTCCAGGTTTTTTTGCCTTGTCACAGCTTGCCTTCAGGTGTGCCATATCTTCCAGAGCCAGGGACATTGCCGAGCTGGGCTTCACCAGTCATTGCGACTTGGCTCACCAAATGCACCACGTCGGACGCAGGGGACTGGCGGAACTGGCGGAACTGGCAGGTGGTACCGCACCAAGTTCAGCGAGACCTTGAGCAACTTGAGTACCTCGTCGCTCGAGGCACGGCGAACCGGGGACCGGAGACAGCGTGTCGAGGTCATTTGAAGAGGTAAGCACAGGTAAGCTATAAGATCTAATAAGATCTAATAAGATCTATAAGTTTTATTCATGAAGTCAACAGACTCAACAGACTCAAAAGACTCAACAGACTCTACAGACTCATTTCCCATGAATATGGGCATCATGGGCCTGTTTTTTTTTTTGTCTGGCTTAGTCCATGGCATAGAGATCTTCCATGTCGCCTGAGGCGTGCTGAATTCGGAGCTGGAGAACTATGTGGCTGAGTTCGCTTTGCCGGAGTTTCAGCTGGCCTTAAAGGTGGTGAACCAGGCAGATGGAGTCAGATTTTTTACAGAAAGAAAATGATGACCTGGGCCATTTTGTTCCTGACTGAGATGTTAGACTTTACATGATTCTCATATATTCTCATAGATGTTAATGATCACATGAGATCACTTTTTCTACTTTTTCTAATGGATATTTTTGTGAGATGGTTTTTGGATCTTTGGATATCTTTGGATCTCGCCTCTCACCAGACCTGTGGATTGCATCAGTTGGGCCAGGCCCTTGAAGGCACAAGCGATGACTCTGCCGTCATGGAGCCCAATGAGCATTTGGCCGTCTTCTTTGGTCTCTATGGCAGGTACGAAGCACATCGAAGCACTGACATATTGAACAGAAATCTGACATATGTCAACTATTGTCAACTGAGGTGTCCATGGTTTGAGTTCTCGATGTATCTCGATGTGTGTTTTTCGGCATTCTGCGTCGATGTCTCCAGTGCGGTGCTCATGCTGTTTTTGCTGATCTCAGATGGAACGGTCCAGGCTTTTGCACCTGCATCCCGGTAAAGCCATGAAGACTGACATCATCAACCCACAGATTAACTTCGAAGCCGTGCAGACAGAGTTCAGGAAAAAAAGGTGGGCCCTCTGCCTGGTTGACATGGTTGACAATCAAATTTGGGTGCATTGATTTTGGGACACCATCGACCAGCGCAGGTTTAGTTACTTAGTACCTGCTTGAAGACCCCTGCGCCAAGGATACAAGCATGAGCGAGTGATATCAAGTCAAGTCTGTTTGCAGAATTTCCTCGTTCCTGAAACAGCGACAGCAGTCACCCCGATCTGTTCCAGGCACCGCGTGGTGGTGATCGATGACTTCTTCTCGGAGGAAGGGCTTCAGGAGCTGCGGAATTTTTTGCTCGAGTCGACCATGTGGATGGACGTGAAGCGAGGCGAGGCCACTGACATCCAACTGGAGAACAACGGGACACCGTTCCGAGCACCCTATAGGGGTTACGGATGGTTACGGATGGTTACGGGGATGCGAGTCATAGTCGTTAAGGATCGTTATTGGGGGCAAAACATCACAGACTCTTCGCATTCGACGTGAGATAGCCTTCAGGCTATGTGGGCGCTTACTTACACACGGGCTTTGCTTCACCTTTGGTAGCACAGGTCGAACAGGAGATTTCCGCGGTTGCAACACGTGGATGTAACTTGCGGAAGCCTTTCCAGCGTCCGATGAATACATTACCATTAACATTGCATGGCCGGGTCAGCTGGTGTGGTATGAGTCGGGAAAAAATAACTCAGAAGAGGAAGCATAGATCATTTTAGTGGCCCACATGAGGAATTACCCCTTCCGAAGGAGATTCGGCGAAACTTCGCAGATCTTTTGGAGGGCTTGGTGCTACAGTCGCTCGGATAACACAGCAAGCATTTGAACAAGTGTTTGAACCATGCTTTTTTTCCATTTCTTTTCTAGCGAAAAATGATGAAACATGCACCATGTCCTCATGTCATCATGATATCCCATGATCCATGGCACCTCGTAGTGTTCCCAGGAATGCCTGGGCTTATATGTATGATGGCAACTTGCCTGGCATCGGAGCCCATGCTGACGACTCGCAGCTGCAAATCAACATCTATGTGACGCCCAGCGAGGCGAGGATCGGGTGAAGGGACCATGTGGAATGTACTGGTACTGGTAGGAGACGCTCAACATGCCCGACATTTTTCATCGAAATTGAAACATTCATTGAAACACCCTAAATATCCCTAAGCCACGTCATATCACATGGTATTCGCAATGACACAGTTCAGTTTGCAGGATCATTCATTTTTCCTGCCCCGAAGCCCCGGAACCCTTGAGGCCAACCTGTGGACATCAGATGCCACGTTGCCTTCTGGTGGACTGGTGTTGTATGGCGTTGGCCCGCCGAAAGAATGGGGCTTTGAGAAATACAACAGTGAGAGTAAAAACTCTCAGATACAGGACCTCTCCGATGATGTGAGATTATTGAGATTGGTGATATTTAAGGAGATGTTTGGCATGATTGGAATGGGGGCTGTGACTCACCGTGATATTATGAACATCCATGATTGTCATCTACTGGTCAACTACTTGAAGTTACTGCTGCTGTCGTGTAATACTTTTCTCTAGCTCTACACATTGTCGGGTCATGTTGGGTCAGTTTGCTGGCACACTTAGCAAGACCCCTGTGCGAAGGAGATTCTTCAGAAGTCTGACTGGAATCTGACTATTCCATATCTTCAAAACAGAGCAGCACCTTTGCTGAAATGTATTGTCGCGCATTGTAAGTTCAGATATAAATGATATAAATCAGGTCAGCATTTGAGAAGCTCATGAGTTTCAGTATTTTTGCGCGATGAGTCTTGCAGTTGCACAGATCTTGTTCGACTCGACCTACTTCCACAAAACTGACGAGATGCGATTCCGGGAAGGCCAGCTTTGGCAGCAACGTCTTGATGCATCCGCTGTTGGCTGCAGCAGTTTCTGCAGTCGTTCCTATCTGTGCATGAAAACTCGCACATGCCAAAATTTGAAATTGAGAAGCAGATAGTCAGACACTTCTTTTCTCTCAAAGTGTGTCATTTCTTTTCTGGTGATGTTTGATTTGTTTTAGGCTTCGAAATGTTTATGCTCAGTTACGATGTGATTGTCCACCCATTTTGGCAACACATAGTGATTTTGGCATTGGAGCTCAAAAAGTTTGACGTTTGCGTGCGACAACTTCAGTGAACCAAACGTGTGGCCGTTGCAGTGCCATGTGGCATCCCTTGCTATCCTTGCTGCAGGTTACACCAACCGACGGATCAATCTGACATTTTTATATGGTAGGCGAGAGAGGCTCGTTCCAGCACCAGCGGTAGCATAGTTCGGATAGTTCGGATAGCCTCTGGTAAATTCACATAGCGAACTGGAAAGATCCACCTTTTATAATGGGAAAATCCACTATTTCTATGGTCATTTTCAATAGCTACGTTAAATTACCAGAGGGTAGTTCGGATAGGTGTGTACTGCTGGGACCATTGGCGCCACAAAAGGGAGGCCGAGCTGCCCAGAGCAGACAAGACTCTGCTGGAAAGTTCTTCTGACGCATGGCGGATATGAACTCACCCTGAATCAATTTGTTTTCATTCCGTTTTGAAAAATGGCATTCTCCGGAGACATTCCAGTATGCATCTTCATCATGTTCATGGAGGTAGCTTTTGTTCATGTCAGAAGCTTTAAATTGTCGCTACAGATCTGCTCCTAGAGTAGAGCGGTCACGATTCTCGGATCGCAGGAGCGTTGTAATGGGCGCTTTGCCTATGAGGAACCCAACTCCCTTCAGAGCCGTTTCTTGCTTGAATCAGTCGGTCAGCGTTGGGAATGAACTGTCCGTCTTGCATTGCGGTGGTTGCATGTGGTTCTGTGGCATAATGGATATCGCCTACATTCGACTACTGTAGCTGCACTTTATAGTTCCCCTAGTCGCAAGACTATCCAATGGTTATCCAGTACTTGTATGTACTTGTAACAAGATTCCATAGCGCATGTCAATACTCGTATGTCGTCATGTCGTTTAAAATTACAGTTACTTTGCTTTGCACTTTGGAAACAGTGGAGCCTCTGAACATGTCAGAACGACCCTTGGATTTCATCAGCTAAACATTTGTTCAATGTGCACTGTTGTCAGTTTGCTTTTTGGCATACATTTTAAGGTCACATACCACGGCCAGATGTGGATTGCTCAGAGATAGAGTCAACTCTAGCGTGGTGCACGCGAGAGAGAGAGAGAGAGAGAAGGTTGAACAATGTTACTGTTTCTACTGATAGTTCTTTCGAGTTGACAGCTTGACTTGGTCAGCAGATGTTTGCAATGGTGACAAATTCTGAGTTTCTGCACTGCCCATCTGAAAATGGGGTTGATATACCCCCAAATGGCCATTTACAAGGGAACATGGTGAGAATCGGAATTGAGGGCAACCCATTTACCCACCCATTTGCAGCCTCAGTGACCGGCCAATTTGTTAAACTTTTCAGGTTCTGGAGATTATTGCGAAGCTACAGCCGCGAGACGACGACGACCCGCCGCCGGTGAAGCCGACTCTCAGTTTACTCCCTTCATCATCCGGAATTGCCAATTCTATCAATGAATTGGTGGTTGTTTCCATCTAAATCCTCTTACATAACAGATCATGACAGTCAGCAGCCCAGAATCGAAGGTCATTATCGAATTTGGCCGAATTCCCCCATCGAACTGGCGCCAGGGATCATCGCCCTTGGCATCTGCGATCCTGGTCATCTCTCTTCTGTTGCTGTTCGTTGCAGCCGTGTTCGCTTTGCTGCAGAGAAGGCTCGCCATGGTTCAGCAGTGATGGAGTTTAGCTCTCCGGTAAATCATATCCCTTAGGCCCTTTGGTAAATTAAACCTAGGACCTAGCTTGAAAATGGCCCATCGATATTTGATTTACCTATGAAAAAGATGGTGATTTTCCATGGCTATGTCACTATGCCACTTTATCAGAGGGTAGATCTGGTTCTGCAATACGGTTGCGAAAAACCAAAAAAAGTGCCGCGCAGGAAGCAGATCCCTACCTGGACAGGTCCAATTGGAAGGCGCTTTGGAGGGCAAGCTTCAGTGCAGTTGCTGGTCTCCATGAACAACGAGACATACAGACTTTCTAGATCTTTCTAGTCTCTATATGTCTCTATGACTGCTGTGACTTTCTCAGATCCTATCAGACATGCGCAGCCAGACTTGTCGGAACATACAGGTTGTTGCAAAGACAACGCTTGGATTTCCTTCCCGTCGAAGAGGTCCAGACCTTGGAATAGAGATGTTCGATGCTTCGACATTACCTGTAGCCGTCGGCCATGGGTATTTTATGATATTTTGGTAAGGTAGACTTGGCAAATTTGGCTTGTATCAACTATCCAGGCGTCCATGTTGCAGTGTACATCAGCATGATTTTTGCCAGGTGAACCCCCTTGATTGGCTGGTTATATTATCCCCAACTGGTGGACATTGCTAAACATCATAGCTATATCCCCCATCTCATCAGCCATCGTCTGTTGGCACACCAATTGGTCCCTGATTGATTGGTCATTGTCAGATTTATATCTCCAACTAGTTGGTTATGGCCACAACATGCCACACATAACAACTATACGGTAACGACATTTAAATATGTGGAGGGCGGGCCAGACCGCAAGGCCCCGGAGGTAGTATAAAATACCAGTTCGTATATTTAAATGTAAGTGCAGTATGTTTAAATGAATTGGATTGCGTATGTTTAAATGGCTGGGCGGGCCAAGGAAAACTACCTTCCCGGAGGTAGTCTGAAATAGCTGTTCGTATATTTAAACACCCGCATATTTATATAAATGTAGTTACCGTATAGATATAGCCATATATTATATATTGTGCCACACATAACATCAATATAATATACATGTATATATAATCATAATTATATATATATACACTCTCTCTATATATATATATCCATATATTATAATATATCTTTTCCACGTGGTTTTAAACAATCCCCAATGGTACCACAATTTAATGCAACAGATGATTATAAATATATATATATACATACACACACATATATATATATATAAATACATGTATTATAGATTATAAATGATGATCATCCAATGGAATTGGCTGGAAGACAGGACTCGGTCTTTGAGCGCTTGGAGCTCGAGAGGGGCGGGCTGCACCTTGCGGGCCATGCGGAGGCCGCTGCGATGACGGTGATTTCTGAATGTAAACTTTTCAGGATCTGAACATTTTGAACAGTGAATTGAGAATATTCAGTCATTTCAGTCAGAGGAATTCACTGAATTCACCTTGTTTTTAACCTTTTTCAATCTGTTTACAGTATTTTTTTCCACATGAGATCCCGTCAGCAGTGTAGGAGCTCTCTGCAGCTCGCCAAGAACAGGGAGAGGCAAACACATTCCGCGGAGGGGTCGGTGAATATCATTTGTTAAATGGTAGTTTGTATTAATGATTATTAGCAAAATATATTGATACATCAGATATTTGATATTGTTAGTATCTGGTTGCTCCCAGAATTCCAGACTGCTGATGAACAGTCTTTGGACTTTACGTGCCTGCACACCAATTGAACATATCATATAATCACAATGATGACAATAGTCAGAATATGTCACCTCGCATCACATCACCGTATATCAATGTGGATTTGTCTGAAAATAGGTTACCCCCAGATTTGATGCTTAATCATCATTAATCATTAACGGCCATAGATTTTTCATGATTTTTCCCTATATTTTCCCTACACCATATGGCCATATATTGGAGGCATACCCCATGATGCCATGGCAGGTGTCCGGAGCAGAAACTCCGGAGCACGGCATCCTGCCAAGTGCAGAGCACACAGCTTCAACCGGGGATCTGGAGCAGGACGTTCTGAGATGATCTGAGATTATTTGGAGCTGTTTTGAGATGTTTTGAGTGTAGCTGTTTTCCACACATGTGATACACCTGCTCATTGTTGGCCTCTAGTCCCCGTGATTGCAGGAGCTCATGTCGCCTGAGAGCCAAAAACTTGGCTAGCAAAAAAGACTGTTGCGCGCAGCTACTGGCAACTTGTGAAACTTGCTTCAATGCTTCTCACGCAGTGGATCTGCCGGAGACTGAATTTTTGGATGACATTCCACTTGGTATACATCTTGGCTCAAACAATTGGGAGGAATTGTCGAAGAAACATAACTGGTTGGCTGCCCAGGAATGGCCTTGCAAACAGCCAGAGATGATCTCTGTACCTATCGATCAAAGCCTGTTCGAATTCCCTGTGGTTCCTGGCTACCTGCTTAGCGCCGCCCGATGGACCTGGTGCCAACTGGGGATGTGGGAAGGCCTGAGCTTCTTGAGCCTCACCGTGGCAGAGGCGCCGTCACACACAAACCGAGTTTCTGCGGTGTAGCAGGTGTCACTTCTATATGTGTAACATAATATATACAAAATTATGTATAATATATAATATAAATATATATATATCTACACATTGTATACATTATACATAGATAATATTTAGTATATTTCAATACGATTGAATACATTTCTCGTGACCTGGTAGGTGGTATCTTAAGTCCCACAGTTCCACAAACTATTCCTGCTTCTCAGAGGTTAGGGCATTGTTCCAGACGTTGTCGCCGTCCGGGCGTGTTTCCAGGCAGTCAAAGCACTGCAGCAGCACAAGGCCAGATCAGATCTAATCTTCAAACATATTCCAAAAACAGGTGCAACGCTGCAATGGTTGGTAGAGCCTTTCATGCAGTCTCTTGGGGGATGAAATCGTGTGCTCTCTGAGAGGAGCTTTGAGATCTAGACTAGACTCCTCATGAAACAATTCAGTTCCTGATTTTCAAATTCATGTTTCCAATTTCTTTCCCAAAATTCATGGACGAAGAGAGTTGAAAAGAGGCTGAATGATCCAGACAGGCATGCAACACCTAGAGGGACAATGAAGACATCTGCTTAAACTCTGCGAGCCAGTCCTGCGAACGGCATGAAGTATGGAGCCGACGAGAATGTGCTGCAGCCCTTCGAATGGCCGGGACTTCAGCCGAGCAATTGGGGTGACTCTTACTGAAGAAGTTGAACAACCACGACCGTAAACTGGTTCAAGAAGGTTGCAGGAGGTTGGACATGGGGCGAACCCGGGAACAAAAACATACTGTATGCACATGACTTTCAAGCTTGCGGTATGTATTGTAGCACGTACCTGCAGCAACAATTTACGGAAGAGCAGCAGGTTCGAATTGACATGATCAACACGGTCCGTGAAGAGATGAGGGATCAGGCTGGGGGTCAGAAGAAAACGTCGCACATCGTCGGATCTTTACACAGTTTTCATCAACGAGCCTTCGACGCAAATGTGGACTGCCCCAGTAGGACACCGATCTTGCTGCCTCAGCGCTGGCTCCAGGGATTCATTGATACTTTATTCATTATTTATTCATATTTGATATAGTTTAATATGGCAGTGTGTCAAAACCTTGTACCCCTGGTGAACATCAAAATAGCTGGTAAATGGATGTTCATCCCCCTAAAAATGGTATTAATAGGTATTGATCCATAGCCATATATTTAATCCAAGTTTGAAAAGAAATGCGGTAGAACATGGTAGAACAGCTTCATAACTTGCCACTCTCTCGATCTCTCTCGGCTTCAGCAGGTCACAGTGGTTATCCGCAGTCTTCAAGACTTAATGATCATGTCTGTCCGAGGCTTACATATCTTAGATGGCTCAATTTTCGAATCTTGTGAAGTGAAAAAGTAGCCCACAGCTACTGAAGATGTCAGAAACATGAGATCAGACAGCTTGTCAATTTTCTTTTGGGCAGAGCCTCCTGTGATTCTTCAGTCACTGGCAGTCACTGGTGCTGGTGGTGGGCTTTGGCTCCGTCTGCGAGGGCACCTTCCCTGACCCACAGGTGGGGAGCCCCAACAGGCGATGACGGCACGACTGTGACGGGCTGCGCAATGGGAGGTGAAACATGCGGCCGAGTATCCGGGGATGCAAAACTTCTTCCTGGAGGCGGTCAAGGGATGTCAGGCTGTTGTCAGGCTATTCTGGTTGGCGTTGAGATTGAGATGTGCTGAGTACCTGATTAAAATATATTAAAATGATTTCCACACTCAGAGAACGTCGAGAATGAAGTTGATAGAATAGGAAAGAATAGTACTTTTTCATACTTTTCCATACTTTTCCCGTCATCATACGACATCATACGACATCCTTGCTGCCACGCGCGACAGCTTTACGCCTGCCTGGCGGCCTTGACGCTGGTGCTCTCACTGGGCTCCCTGCTCCTAGCGATGTTTCTGTCGATGGAGGCAGCTTGTTCCCCTGAGTGTGTGTGTTTCAAGTAGCATAGAGTTACATGAATGTTACATGTTGGTTCCCCCAGATTTTTGATAATTTTGATATATTTTGATTGCCTCACATGATGGTCAGGATGCAAGGATCTGCGAAACAATGCAAAACATACAGTAATATCAACATCTCATTTCCAATTTTTCTTGCATATTCTTTACTTGGAACTTGAGGGCTTTGGCTGTGGGCTGTGGACATGTTTGACATCTGTGGGCAATTGAGTGGAATCTTCCCAGGTGTTTGTGACAGTTTAGGAAGAAGTCCGGAGCTTTGCTCTGGAACATGAGTGTGAGTACAAATTCAAGCACTTAAAGAAAAGGATTTTGAAGATCCTGAAACTGAACAATTAACTGAACAATTCTCACAGGTGAGGGATTCTGACTTGGGACGTTACTTCACAGCTTGTGCCCTTCGGAAAATCCCGAAGTCATCGCCAGTTGGAGAATTTCCTGTCGGCCTGCACTGCGGATTTACAGCGGCATGTGCGAAGGCGGACCGTGACAACATGTGCAGCTTGAGAAGATGGACTCCTAGAATTGCTAGAAAAGGACAGAACACATATATAAAGATTATATAAAGACTATGACAACAATTCATAACAATTCAACACATTGGTTTCAGTGTGCCTTGGTCACCACTTGCAGCAATTGTTTGAGACTCAACAGCCTGTAAAGCGCTCAGGGCTTTGCAAAGGGATTGGCCAGCTCGACGATCTGAGGAAGTCCAGTCGCACGGAGCCAAGTGTGGTCCAAAACTGCAAAGAACAACAGCAACTGCAGCAGTAATAACACAATTAACGGAGGTTAAGAGGAACAACCACATCAACGCAGCTGCAACAAGAACAAGAAGAATGACAAGAACAGCGACAACGACAACGACAACGACAACAAACACAAGAACACATATAATCTACTATACTTTTACAAATATAATGAGACGGAGAAACAGACCCCCCACACACACACACAGAGACACACAGACACACACAAAAAAAAACTGTGACAAATTACAGCAGTGATACGCAAGAATGCCAAGAGCAAAGATAGAGTCACCATCAAGGCCACAACCCCATCACTTCAAAGCAGATTTCGCCTCAGATCTTCCATTGATTCTGCCAAGTTTTATTTTTGGTCGCTCTTTGCAAAGGTCTATGGATATGCGAGACAAGGATGCACTGCAGGCAGTGCTGGAAGATGCCAGGTGCGAAGCTCATTTTGAAGACATGGTGATTTGACTGGGATGGGTTCAAAAACTCTTGAGTTGAGTCATAGTCTTAAGCTCCGGCTCTTAACTGCAGATAACTGCCACATTTATGGCTCTGGGTCGTCGTTGATGCTTGTTCCGCAGCCACCAAGTGGCTCCTCACTCCAACGTAGTTGATACAAATCAGCTTCACCCTGGTCTAGGCGTGGAAGCCCGGGATTTGTTCTGAATGAGCTCTGTGAAATCCCAACGCAGATACACATACTGTAGTTCCAATATGTTCCAATACAGCAATCAAATCAAATTTCATATTAGAATATATTAGAATCACCCTTCAATGCTTGAGCCAATTCCAAGTGGGAAACCAGCCCTTGACAGCTCTTGCGGTGGAGGATGGGAGAACGGGGAGAAGATATCGAGAAGCAGCCTCTCTTGGAGAAGTCGGATTCCAAGGCAATGTCATAAAACTCCATGTGGAGTCCTTGATGCATGGTGGATGCAGGGTGGTATCAATCTAACATAATCTAACCACACTAACCAACCGCTCTCACTCTCCAAACAGAAATTCTGAAGCTTGTGCTGTTGGAGCGAGTCGATGAAAATCTGTTCTGGACTTTGGTAAATGTAGATGAGTTCAATAAGTCCATCTCGCATTGGAGCAGTGGGTCAAAAAGACCCGCGCACACACACACATTGACCATCAGTCAGAGCCGAAGAACTCTGGTGTCAGCCTTCTGATCATGATGTTATTCTTTCAAGAAGTGCTTTGATAAATACTGATAAGATCTGATAAGTTTCAAGAGATTGGACCTTCTTACCAAACCTGCTACTGTACTTGATCCGTTGGACAACTGGTTTGCAGGCAGCTCCAGAGGACTCACGGGGGTATGGCAGAGGTACGGGATTTGGGATACATATTAAAAAATTAAAACATAAAGAGCACAAAGAACTGTACAGATCTGTACAGTACTAGACACATCTAGTCCGACTAGTCCAAAGGATTGTCCCAAGATGTCCCAAGCTTTTCTTGTATCTTGGAATGTGCAATGTCAATGTATGCAGCATATCAAGCAAGGCAAACTGCCAGAGGTTTTCGGGGATCCTCTTCATGCCATCTTTACACTGATCATATGGGTCCGTCTAATGGAGTACATCCCAATCATAGCCATTTCATGGGGAACATGATCAAAAATGAAGCATCATTCTTGTTTGTTTTTCCCGTTTTTTCCTGAATTTCCATACGTTTTCAACATATCTGAGCCCATGATATGGGTTTTTCTATGGGTTTTCTGGTCCAGGAAGATGAAGGCGACTCGATGTCCTACGATGCTCGCAAGCTCATCACCTTTGAAGTCTTCCGCGCGACTACTGGGACCATCTGGGTGAAGGCGGAAACCATGAGGGTATCAGCATGATATCGCTGTATCCCAACATAAATATCCCAACATCTTATTATATGATACATACTCGACATAAATATCCCATATCATCCCATGTCCAAATTTTACTGGATCTTTACCATCACTTTGCCAACGTCGCGATACGTTGCTCCTTGGAGCCCCCGGAGGCCTCGTTGTGGAGGTCCATGGGCTTACTGCTGCTGCTGGCACTGGCCACGGCCACGGGCTCCGCTCTCTTGGTGAAGGAACCAGAGAAGTCACTGGGACACCTGGGACGACGGCGGTCTGGCGGTCTGGCATGGCCTGGGAAATCCCATGGGAAGATCATCGAACGATTTTTATGGGGAGATTATTTATAAGGTCCTCACGTCACTGGAATGATGGTGAATAAAATGTAAGTATCCCATTTGATTACATTTGATGGCCGAACTTTTCAGGTTGGTGAACTTATCATTTATCCAGATTGTTTAGCTATAAATGTTCAGTTCCAACTAGTTGGTTCCCAGAAGGCTCGAGAATGTTGAGATCCGTGAAGAACCGATAGGATACCGAACTTTTTTGGTTTGAAGCGTAGTCACCAAAAAATGATGTCGATCTTAATCTTGTGGTTTGGGACTTGCGGGAATCTGAACGTGTCGTTTGATCGATCCTTCTTAAACCGAATGGACATCATTTCCACTCTGTCACTGTTCATGGCCTCACATTTGTCTGAGGTTGAAAACTGACGAGTTTAGCAAATTGAACGGCTTTCTGCTACCTGGCGAATCCAGTTGGCTGAGTGAACTTCAGTCCAGTCATTCTCGCCTTTGAAGCACTGAGAGGCATTCCTGACTTGACAAGTAGATCCTTCCGATTAAAGACAATTACATTGTGGACATGCAGACTCCTTGCAATCAACCACAGCATTGGAAGATAGATGGTTGAACCTCTGCTTGCAAGGAAGGCCATCGTGGGTCTGCTGCTGGGTTTCTTCCTGTCCTCGTCCGTCAACCGCTGGCACCTTGACATTACTAGGGCCGTGTTGATTGCCATTTCAGTGTGCTTGCAACATTGAATGTTGTGATTTCCCAGCGTACTCGTAGACATCTTGTTGTCTGTTCGGGAGGAAATCACAAAGGGACGCTCACATTGCTTGCACGATTGTTTGGTGTTTGGTGTGGATTGGTTTCAATGATATGCATTTGGTTCATACGGTTGTCACGAGATGTCACCAGGTATGCATGTGCCAGCGGCTTCCTTGAGCTCTTCAATGCGATTCGTGCGTTGCATATGCAGCTCACGGCCATTGGACTCTCAGCAGGATTACCATATTTTGTGGATTTTTTTTGGGGGATGAATATCCATTGACCGAAAAACAGAAAAACAGCGCCCAAAAAAACGAACGGCCTTCAAATTGTTTCTTTCCGTCTTCCGGTTTTTTTTCTGCCTTGTTTCCTTATTTTTTCAGTGCCCCCAAAAGTAAGACAAGCGGACCAAAATGCGAAAAAAAGAACGAAGGGGACGGACAAATTTGAATTTGTGTTGGCTATTTTTTGAAGCAGCTTTTCGTTTTCTTGCCTTGCTGTCAATCAGTGTTTTTCCATTTTGTTTTGCTTTTTCATTTCTGGCCAGGGTGCCTTTTTTTTTTCAGACTATGACAATGCTTTGCATTTTCCAGTTGAAACTTCTTACTGCAACACATAGCAATATGACCTGTCGGTTATTTGTGATTTTCCCGGAACACCATGTGGGGAAACTACAGGTTGATCTTGGAAAAGCGAAGGAAGTCTGAGGTTTTTCATGGTTTTTCCACCTTTTCTGTGGAGGCTAAGGAAAGAGTCCACGTATGCTTTCAACTTTCAACAGTACAAACTCCAAGGCTAGACATATTGGGTGACAACATGTTCTTCATCTTCATTGTGCAGTTCATTCCCTGTGACCAACGGATTCAGCTTCTCCAGGTCTCACTGAAGGGTTGTTGGTGTCGATACAGATAGCCAAATGTTACCATCATTTCCATCCCACACTCATTAGGTGCTCCGAAAGAGCGTGTGCACATGATTGTCCGCTACTGCGTGGTCTCTGCCTGCAGTGTGGATACCCAGAGCTCCATTGATGACTCTAGTGTTTGGTAGAGCGGCTGAATTGACGCCAGCTCACCACTTTGGGCAGGAAGGCCTGTGTTAGGCGGAAATCCATTGGGGGTTTGTATCGCGATCTTGAAGCAAAGGTTTGATTCAGAAGTTGCTCAAACAGCAGAGGCCTTTACCTTTTTTGTGACCCGCGTCTGAATATTGGAACCTCCAGGTCCAAAAAGAACGACCCCTACCTTAAGAAATTAATCCAGGTGGACCGTTGGTTATCCAATTATTTTTTTCAATTATATAGTTTTGAATTGGGTGTTTTTTTCCGAGAACTCCATTTTTGGATTAGCTAGGTGTACCCAAATTAATTTAGTCTGAATGTTTGAGAATGAGAGTGGGGCCACCTCGAATTAATTTGTCATAATTTGTCCATAATCTACTTGCATGGGTCTTCCCGGCAACATGTCACTAATAACCCCAGATCTGCTTACTGGGGTTGCTTGTGGTCATGTCACTGACACCGGCACCACACAACATCATAAAAATAATTATATATATATATTATATATATAGTGATCCTAAAGTAGATAGAATATTTTTTGGAGGGTGCAGGATTTATTTTGGATGTTGGCCAAGTACAGAAACTAGTAGTTGGAATATTTCGCCCCCTCCCCCCAGGGAGGTCGAAAACAGGTAGTTGAAATATGGTTTGGAGGGGTAGATAGAATATTTTTGTTCAAAGTGCCCCATTCACTTCAAGGTATTGCACAATTATCCATATATATTCATGTATGGTGATGACTATACATATTATGTAGGTATTTAAAGATAAGTATATAATCTACTAACATAACCCCAGATCCTGCTTTCCGTGGCACTGCGGCACTGTGCGTGGTGTTCACAGTTCCCTCAAAATATTCCATCTACCTGGTTTGAAAAATATTCTATCTATTTTTGATATTCTATCTATTTGTTTTTGTGTTTTTTGATTTTGGTGGGTTTTCAATTTTCTCCAGACCCGTGTCCAAAATTGGCCAAAATGATTTCAAATGATTTCAACAGGGAAGAAAAACATGTAAAAACTGGTGGTTTTGAACATATTCCAACTATTTTTTTTGAACATGAGGATTGAACATGTCCGATATTCTACCTACTCCAGGATGACTCTCTCTATATATATATACATATTGTTGATTTTTGCAACCTGCCTGACTGAGGTGCTACTATGAGCACAAATCGAGAAGTGTAACGAAGTTTACATCCAAAGGTCAGACATAACATGTGTCAACATGTGGCTGCCATTTCCCTATCAAGGGCCCTTGGGCCAGCCTCTAATCGAGGTCTGGCAACGTTCAGCGTGGAAGAGAAAAGTGTGGCGCTTTTTGCGCAGCTGTGACACTTTCGTTTTATCATGGTAGCGGAGCAGTAGCTCCAAGGCCTGCTCTCGCTTGGATTTGACCGCAAGAGGTCCTTCACTGGGCCCGTGGTTTGCATTGGCCAGTTCCGGCCGACAATTTGTGGCATCAACTTTGACCTCAGTCAATCTCTGGTGCAATCCTCTGCCGTATTTGTCCTGCTGAGTTTTTGCAGCAGGTATGGATACAAAAGATCCTTTCAAAGACATCTCCTTTGACGGACGTCCAGGTAGTTACCGGGAATTCAGACGTAAAGTCATTCTTTCTGTAGCTGCACTGGAGGATAAGGTACAACATCTAGCTGGTCCGAAGTTGCTGTCCCGACTGACTGGCGAAGCATGGAGGTGTACGGAACATTTATCAATAGCTGACCTGAGGTGCCAACAAGGCTGGTTGAAGGTTTTGGAATGCCTAGACCGAAACTACAAGCATTTGCCGGAAGTTGAGCTCCATGAAAGCATTGATGAGTTTTTGTTCCACCTGAAAAGAATTAAAGCCCCATGAGGGTGCGACAGCCTTTGCATCCCGATTCAAAACTGCTCTTGCGAGACTGGAAAACCTGATAGCTGCTGAGAGAGAAGCCTCTCATGCCAAACGCCGACGCAAAGATGACCAAGGACGACGTTTCTTAGGTCCTGCATCTCCAGTAGCTAGTTCCCTGGAAGATTCATCCGATGCCCAAGATGCCCCTGACCAACCCGATGGTCCTGCTGATGAGACTGATGGTGAAGTATCCGAAAGTAGCCGAAAGCTTGCACATGCCGATACTGCCAAGTCCTCAGCCGAGGCCAAAACTGCTGCAGATGCCAAGGACGACACCTTTGCATCGCCTGCCCATAAGAGTGGTCCACCTAGCCAGCCATCTGGTGGTCCACCCAGCCATTCGAGCCGTAGTTCAAAGCCTGGAAAGAAGCATTCCACAGCTTCTCACAAAGCAGAACATGAGCGTGCTCAGTTGGAAATGCAGCGAATGTTGGGTACATTAGAGCCTGGATTCAGAAAGCCGAAGCCCATTTTTCCACAATCTGTTTTGGGACATCTGTTTATGAGGAAGTTTGGATTGAACCGTGAACAAAGAAGCCAAGTCATCAGATCAACAGGAGGGTCTTCAAGATTTTTGGATGTTGAGCGTATCCTCAGAGCTTCTGACATCGAGGACAATAGCCGCCTTGATGATCGTCGCAGTGAAAAGCCTCCTTTCAAGAGTCAACGCAGAGACACCTTTGCTGTTCAGGAACTTGATGATAGCTCTTCAATAGATTTGCCCCTCTCAGATTCAGATGGAGAAGATCCTGAAGTTCTACTTGGCCAAGAATCCGAGGTTTCCTCGAACCAATCTGCCGATGATGAAGTGGGTGAAATCCTGGAAATCCAAAAGAAGGCCAAAAAGGATTTTAAGAAAAGTTTTCGGACTTATAAGGAATCCAAGAAAAGGGTCAAGGAAATCAAGAAGAGTAGAATGGGGAACACACCATACTATCCAGTTGTTGCGATGCCACCAGATTCCAATGCCTCAGGGTCAACTGGTAATCAAATGGTGCAACAGAAATCATTCAAATATGATCGCAAGGACTTCAATAGAAAGAAAGGTGATGCATCGAAAGTTTCAAAACAGAATTCCAAACGTGAAGAAGCTCACATGACTGAGTCCACAGTGAACACTCAGTTCCAATACATGGTTTCAAGCATCAACGTTGCCCATGCTGAAGATGAAGTTTTTCTGGCTTCAATCCCTGTTGGAATGGCTATCCTGGATACGGGGTGTACAACATCAGTTGTGGGGTCAGAGACTGTTCGTCGATACACAGACCATTTTCGAGCATGTGGTTACCCAGCACCTGTTCCCATAGAACTGCCTCCTGTAGAACTCAAAGGTTTCAATGGTCAGACTGTTACAACTACATCTGGTTTACGTTGGACTGTAAAACTGGGGGATTTGCATGGGACGATTACAACCTATGTGATTGAGGGTGTTGCGCCGTTTCTGCTTTCAAGACGTGTACTGGAAGGTATGGGTGCAGTTTTGGATTTGGGGTCCATGACAATTACCAGCCAAAAGCACAACATGATCAACCAGAGCTTGCCCCAAGCATCCAATGGTCATTTGTTGCTGCCGTTGTGCCCCATGCCCAAAGAGTTGGACGTAGCACAGTGTGAGACTTCGAACGAATCCAATGAGCCCAATCAGAACTCCGATCTGTGGTCTTCGAATGCAACATGTGCCAAGAGTCAGCCAAAGGACTCTCCTGCCGAGCCTGTTGAATCCCCAAAGCCTGTTACCACTCCCAAGTTCAAGAAGAATCCCAAAATAACTCCAAATGATAAGCGTAAAGCCTTTCAAACGATGGTGAAGAATACAAAGAATGGGGTTATAGATTTGGATGTTCACAGGGAGTCACTTGCTAAGGTATTCAACCTAAATGGGGAGGACATAACCTATGCTGCAGTTGCTTATCAACCCAAGAAAGAACGAATACCCTCTCAAGCAAGCAGCCAACAGTTTGAGGTTTCCGTGGCTGAAATGTCCAAAGATGGTCAGTTCACCGTGCATCCCTGGAGGATCCGTCCATGTGGGGAAGAAAGACGTCCGGTGAGCCCCATGAGTGTAGGCATTTTTGCGTTTCGTTGCCCAGTGTCCGAATCTGTCACACCGGTTGAAGAGGCAATCCAAGGTCCTGCATGTTACTGTTGTAATGAACTTTCCTCAAGCATGCCCGAAAGTAGTCCTGGGATAGGTATGGAAACCCTTTATGAAGAAACCGATTGGGTAGACCTAGAAGACCAAAAACCTTTGTCCCAGTCTGTCCAAAAGCAGCTTAGGAAAAGTATCATGTCCCTCAGAAAAGCCAGCAGTAGGTTGACCTTGTCCCGAATTGCCACAGACCCAGCCGGGGTGAAAGCCGAATTGCAAGATTGGTTGAAAGACCAAGCCCCAAGCTTGACCAGCGTGTTGGCCTAATAGAAGTATTTGCCGGACAAGCCAAATTGTCCAAGACCTTTGAAGATAGATCCAACACCAAAAGCATCAAGTTGGGCCTGAGCTATGGTCAAGATTTCACCAAGTTGCATGACAGACGATGTTTGCTGCTCCTGATCGCCTTCTGTCGTCCCAGCCATGTGTGGTTTAGTTTTCCGTGTAAATATTGGGGTCCCTGGACAAACCTGAATCTCAGCCGAGATCCAAAAACTAGGGATGAAATCCTAAGACAAAGGGATATAGCCCTGAAATATTTACATAACGTTTCCGAAGCATGGCATCTCCAGAAGTTCCTAGGTGGACATGCACACTGCGAAAACCCATGGTCATCCCTGGCATGGGCCGAGTTGAACCTAGGTGAATGTTGGGAAGTCAGAATCGATCAGTGCTCGCTTGGACTGCGTTCTCCAAAGTCCGATGTGCCCGTCTTGAAGCCGACAAAAATTGTTACGACGCAAGAAACTCTTGCGGCAGGACTTGTAAATTGTCGTTGCGATGGACAACATCGGCATGAACATCTTGAAGGAGCCTATAAAGGTAGGAACTTGACCAGTTGGGCAGAAGACTATCCCCGGAAGTTTTGCCGAGTCATGGTCAAGCTCATGTTGCCTGAGG